ATTATTTAAAATTATAGTGGAATTACGTGGGATTCCGGTAAAATTATTACGAAGGAATTACGACGAAATTTTCCGAGTATTCGCCTCAATGCCTCCGGAATTTTAAGTTATTCTCGTGAAATTCCAGAAAATTCCCATGAAATTCCAAAATATTTACGTAAAATTACGTGGAATTTTCGCTAAATTTCAAAAAAATTCCATAAAATTTCCATAAAATAATGTACTTGAAATTTCATTGAGATTCCGAAAAAATCCGGTAAAATTGCTTGAAATTCTAGAAAATTCTTCTGAAATTTCTAAGGTAATTTTACTGAAATAAAATTACTTGAACTTCTCCTGAAATTATTTGAAATTCTAGCAAAATTTGAAAAAATCCCTGTGAAATAAATCAAAATTCTCGTGAAATTTCAGAAAATTCACAAGAAACTACTTAAAAAATCGTATAAATATTAGTGAAATTCCAACAAAAAAAAATCGTGAAATTATTTTTTTAATTTCAACAAACAAGGAATTTTTATGAAATAACTCAGATTTTCAGAGGAATTCCAAAAAAATTTACGTAAAGTGACCTGAAATGCTCATGAACTATCAAAAAGTAATTTGTGAAATCACATGAAATTCCAAAAAATTCCTGTGAAAATACAGAAAATTTCTTTGAAACTAATTGAATTTTTAGTGGAATTCCGAAGAATTTCCAGGAAATTCTGGTGTACAAATTAGGAACATTTTTGGAACATTCTATAATAAGAATTTCAGTGGAATTCTTGCAAAATTACACGAAATTCTCATGAAATATAAGAAAATTCTTATGAACATTCCTGAAACATTCTACGAATATTACCGGAACATTCTATAAACATTTCCCACATATTCCTGAAACATTTTTGGAACATTTTATAAACATTTCTAAAATATACATTGCAAATATTGCACAAAAAAAAAACATGTTGAAACATTTCTGAAATATTTTTGGAACATTTTATGAACATTCCTAAAATAGACGAATTATTTCAAAAGTATATTGAAATATTTTTGTGTTGATGGGACATTCTACGAACATTCCATAAACGTTCCTGCAGGAATTCTAGTTTCAAAATATTCTAACCTTAATTTCTCGGTAATTGTTGAGCAAATTACATTGAAATTTTCAGCATTTGTAGTTTTGATTAAGCTCTAAATGACCTGTAATTTACAATATTTCCAGATTTATAGTTTTTGACAAAATTTGGACCAAATGTCAAATTTGAGGTTCCATTTCTCGAAAACCATCTCAGCTATTAAACTTAATTTTACATCGATTTATAGAGAATTTAATGCTCTTTCCAATAATACATACTTTATTTCAATTTGCTCGAAATTTAACAAAGATATGGGCAATTGCTCATGACCATGTCAAGATTTTGAACATTTTTTAGAGCCAAAAATAAGATTTTTTTAAAAATTTTGTTTCTGCTCAAAATGGCCATTTGGAAATGATGTTAGGGTTATTTTCCACTAATTTCTGCCCACTCTATCGATTAGTAAAGTCAAAATTGAGCAAAACTGAAAATTAAAAAAATCGAGTTTTTCATAAGGGTACCCCCTTTGAATTCTGATTTTAAAATGTTCAAACCTCAACTGCTCGTTAACTGTTGAGCGAATTGCATTGAAATTTTTAGTATTTGGAGCTCTTATTGAGCTCTAAATGGCCTGTAATTTATAATATTTTCAGATTTATAGTTTTTGAGCAAATTGAGTTTGAAGTTTTCGACAAAATTTGGACTAAAAGTCAACTTTGAGGCTCAATTGTTTGAAAACTATTGGAGCTATCAAACTCAATTTTGTACAGATTTATAGGGAATTTAATACTCTTTCTGAGAATGTATAATTTATTTCAATTTGCTCGAAATATAACAAAGATATAGGTAATTGCTCATGACCATGTCAAGATTTTGAAAATTTTCCGAAGCCAAAAATAGGATTTCCTTTTTAGTTTTGTTTCTGCTTAAAATGACAATTTCGAATTGATGTCAGGGTTGTTTTTTACTAATTTTGACTCCCTCTATCGATTGCTAAAGTCAAAATTGAGCAAAACTGAAATTTAAAAAAATCGAGTTTTTCATAAGTGTACCCCTTTGAATTCTGATTTCAAAATATTCAAACCTCAATTGCTCGATAACCGTAGAGCAAATTACATTGAAATTTTTAGTATTTGAAGCTCTTATTGAATTCTAAATGGCCTGTAATTTACAATATTTTCAGATTTATAGTTTTTGAGCAAATTGAGTTTGAAGTTTTTGACAAAATTTGGACTAAAAGTCAACTTTGAGGCTCAATTGTTTGAAAACTATTCGAGCTATCAAACTCAATTTTACGCAGATTTATAGAAAATTTAATGCTCTTTCTGATGATATATACTTTATTTCAATTTGCTCAAAATTTAAAAAAGATATAGGCAATTGCTCATGACTATGTCAAGATTTTGAAAATTTTCCAAATCCAAAAATAGGATTTCCTTTTTAATTTTGTTTCTGCTTAAAATGGCCATTTTGAATTGATCTCAAGGTTGTTTTTTACTAATTTTGATCCACTCTATCGATTGCTAAAGTCAAAATTGAGCAAAACTGAAAAATAAAAAAAATTGAGTTTTTCATAAGGGTATACCCCCTTTGAATTCTGATTTCAAAATATTCAAACCTCAATTGCTCGGTAACCGTTAAGCAAATTGCAATAAAATTCCTAGAATTTGTAGCTTCTATTAGGTGCTAAATGGCCTGTAATTTACAATATTTCCAGATTTATAGAGTTTGAGCAAATTGAGTTTGAAGTTTTTGACAAAATTTGGACTAAAAGTCAACTTTGAGGCTCAATCGCTCAAAAACTATTCGAGCTATTAAACTTAATTTTGCACAGATTTATAGAAAATTTAATGCTCTTTCCAATGGTTTATAATTTAATTTAATTTGCTCAAAATTTACTGAAATTATGGGCAATTGTTCATGACCATGTCAAGATTTCGAAAAATTTCCGGAGCCAAAAATAGGATTTTCTTTAAATTTTTGTTTCTGCTTAAAATAGTTATTTGGAAATTATGTCAGGATTATTTTCCACTAATTTGGAACCGCTCTAGGGATTGGTGAAGTTTAAATTGAGCAAAACTAAAAAATAAAACAATTGAATTTTCATCAGGTTACTTTTTCTGAATTCTAAAAGCCAACTTTCAGACTCAATTGCTCAATAACTATTTGAGCTATCGAGCTCGATTTTACACGGATTTATAGAGAATTTATTGCTCTTTCCAATGATATATAATTTATTTCAATTTGCTTAAATATCCAACGAAGATCTGGGCAATTATTTCTAACCGCGCTTTAAATAGTAAAGGCTGTAGGTATGGCTTAAATATAATAAAATACCCTGCAATATATCCATTATTCTTTACAGTACAATAATTGATAGTCCATTTCTAGGTTTTATTTGTAATAATATGATTCAGAATCAGAACAGAAGCTGTCTTTATTCTACTAATGAAGCTAATTTTAATTTTTGGTTCATTACTTGAGACTCAAAGTGCTATTATACAGGGTGAAAATTTGAAAATGAAAAGTAGCAATTGGGAATATCTCTTTGACAAAAAATACTATTAGGAAAAAGTTAAGGTAGCTACCTCCTAAAAGGTGAGGCGAGATGACTCAAAAAGTGCCCTATTTTGGTTCCCTCTCCAATCCCCATGATAGTATTTTTTGTCTAAGAGATATTCTCGATCGCTACTTTTCAAATTGTCACCCTGTATATTTAACATAAATAGACGAGAACATGTTACTCCTTACATTACTAACAGTGAAATGCTCAAGATATGAAAGAAAGAAGATTTTTACATTTTGCTGTTTTCATACAAAATACTATTGCCTATGAGAACTTTTACTCAGGAGGTCAGAATATACAACATATTAAAATTTGATGGAATCCCGCATACAACCCAAATCCCATGTGCAGAGTCCTTTAGAACTGAACAATAATTCAAGATACTAGATTGGGTTGGAAATATTGGAAAAAGTAGGGAGCCATTAATGGCGAAAGAATATTTTCTCAATTTTTCAGCTTTTTTTTTATGGATTTTCCCCGATTAATTACAAAAATTAACTTGGGATCCTTGTCTTTAGTATATCTCAGGCGAATATCCTTAGTCCTAACAAATCTGCCCCGGCGGTATAATCCTCCCCGAAATTTCAGCGTCGTTTATCCTCGATCATCGTCCTCCTGAAAATCCTTCTTCTTGTTCAGTTGCCCGTACTTTAACAGTTTGTTAAGATTATCCCTTTGGAAGGAAAAATAAGGGGACAAATTAGACAACGTCAATGATTAGTTACATAATAAGTACCCTTGATATTTTTTTTTGTAAATCGCTACCTTGCCTTTTCCGCCTTTGAATAACAAATATAATTAAAGCTTTTATTTACCCTGACAAGTTTATTCCCGTCCAAAACTACTACATGCAGTTTGCTCGGTAATTAACGGCAATTAAGACCCCCCTTTCTTCGCTAATAATGTCGTTTTCTGAAATTATTTTGTCGACTGAGTGCAGCTAGGGAATAATATGAATGTTGACGAAGGCGATTTTGCTACGTTTCTATTTTAATTTAATAAACTTAGAAAGTGGGATTATTTTTTTGTAAAAATGTAAAGACAATTTTACCAACTGATCTTGTCGCAACCGGTCACCATATGTGCGGTTAATCCTGTTTGTATTGTACGATTAGCCGATATCTCAGAGATGATGTATCGCCGTCTAAATAGTTGCTGGTTTGTGTTTAGCTGCGGCACTAATCTCGACTAATTGATGACCGGAGATAACGAATATATCGGGGACATTTGCAGGGTTTGTGTGTTTGGACTACGTTGGACGGATTTAGCAATAGATTTGTTTTGAAAAAATTGCAGTCAAGAAAATTTGAACACATCGCTACGATAATATTAACTTTAAAGTGAATCTAAAAATCTACCAATTAACTCATAACTTGTCTGGATGTGATTGTAATTTCATTATCTCTCTCAATTCCAAGCTAAATCTAAATATAAATCAATATCAAAAGACAGTGTTATGATAACTTACTTTGTTTTTTATTAAAAATCAATTTCCAAGATGTAATCTATACAATTTAATAGCTATCGCCGAAATGTATCCTATATCTATCAGCTTTACACGTAAAAGTACTCTTATGATCATCATAAGCGTAGCTATAAGCGTCGGGACAAGCGTTTTTAAAGAACGCTGGATAATCTTTGGGCCAATCTTGGCTTCTGCAAGTTTCCGGACGGTCATGCGCACCTGAAACAAATATTTTGATCAGATAAAATGAGTCAACAAAAAAATACATTACCTCTGCAACAATAAGTATCAGTATTGAATTTATTGCAAGCAGAATGACAAGCGATTGTTAGCCCTGCGTGAATCAACCTCAAATCGTTCGGACAATCGGTGTTGATGTCCGAAAGGCACTTGGCTTTGGTGCAACTGTATTGTCCTTGCGGACCATTGCCGTTTACTGGTTCAATCTACAAAATAATAATTGATATTTGTGACATACATCTATCTATATATTTATTTTAAGAGAAATCATTCTACTTACAAATCCACGAAGGTTGAAACCGTCAACAAGTGAAATGTCGTAGTAGTCCAAGCCTTGCCAGCCCTTAAGGGTGATTTCTATTAAAGTTGCTGGTGGGTTGCCACCGGCTCCTTGGCATTCTAATCGGTTTCCGCAGTCGCCGGTTTCGCAATGTTTGGAGTTCGGGTCGCACCAGGTTCTCGGCCAAAATCTACCTGCCCAATTGTCCGGTGCCGATACTTCGAACTAGAAAATGATGGAGTTATTCACAAAAATCTCTTAAAAATTCCAAAACAGTAGCAGAAAGATCCTGAGAATCGAATCAATGTTTGACTGATGTTCCAGAGAAGAGTCAGACCTTTGTATATAAGGCAAGGGCGCCCACAGGGAGGGTCAGGCTGGAAATGTCTTAAATTTTAATTATTTTCTATGTACAGGGTGAGTTACTAAGCGTGCGGTGGTCCATATCTCCTATACTAACGGAGATTGGAGAAAAAACTGAATACAAAACTTGTAGATAACCATGAGTACTACATTCCTAAATTATTTTTCAGTATACAGGGTGGCCCAATAGCTAGTAGTAGTTATGTTTTTTCAAATGACTACCCCTGTATATTATGACGTTTATGGATTCTGCCAAAAATTCTAGACACATTTCATGTACAATGTTATATACCTATCTTCAACTGTTTCGGAAATATTGACAGTTGAAAATTGACTTTTTTGCATCTTTGACAGACTGTGAAACCTAAACGGTTAATTTTACAAGAAAACGGATTTTACATTCCTATCTTAGTTTTTCATACACTATCATTTGACACCAACCTTGAATTTAATCCATGATTAAAAATTTCGCCTAAATTATTAATCTTCGGTTAAATTCAGAGTTAATGTCAAATGATAGCTTATGAAAATCTAAGATAGGAATGTAAAATCCGTTTTTCTCTAAAATTAACCGTTTAGGTTTCACAGTCTGTCAAAGATGCAAAAAAGTCAATTGTAAACTGTCAATATTTCCGAAACAGTTGAAGATAGGTATATGATATTGTACATGAAATGTGTCTAGAATTTTTCGCAGAATCCAGAAATGTCATAATATACACAGAGAGTCATTCAGAAAAACATAACTTTGTGTCACTATTAGTCATTAGGCGACCCTATATATTGGAAAATAATTTAGGAATGTAGTACTCATGTTTATCTACAAGTTTTGTATTTAATTTTTTCTTCAATCTCCGTTAGTATAGGAAATATGGACGACCGCGCGCTTAGTAACTCACCCTGTATATTATATTGTAGGTCCGATGATGCTCGTATGAGCGAAACGGGCATACTTGAATTCGGCCACAAACCAGGTAGCTGCAGTAATCCTACTTTTGAATTCGACCAAATCATGAAACCCAACCTACTTCCCATAAAACTTACCTTGATGTTGACAGATTTCGCATTGCATATGAGTTAATAAATCTAAAAAAGTATAAATATATATTTTGATGCGCAAAATAAAAAGATCTACCAAAATGACTATGGAAAGATTCACAGGCATTTGTTTTTTTATCCAGGTCTATCGAGGCATGTGTCATGTGTCTATGAGATAATCTGAAAATTTAACTAGAACTTCGTGATTCGGCTGAATAGCTAACAACTCGAAAACAAAGAAATCGCTAACTTCTTGATTCTCCAAAAACATCATTCCGAAACAATTATGTAACGATTTACCGATTTCTGAATCTTTTTTTTTATATTCAATGCTTAAGCTTAAGTTTTTGATCTTCCTCTACTATGCCTGAGATTTTAGCTATTTATAAGAAGTAAATAAATTGATTTAATATCTATATCTCAGTGTACCGATTTGCATATTGATAAATTGTCACCCTTTCCTTATTCCGGAACTGGTGAATTTTGTGGCTGAGTTCAAGGATCCCGAAGCTAAATACATGTCACTATTAAGTGAATCAAATGATAAACAATCTGTGTGTTAACATGTGGGTTTTCAAATTATGTTTTTGCTTAAATTTTGCATTACAAGTGTCACATTCAAATGGATAAATATCCGAATGTGTTAGCTTGTGAATCTTTAAATCGGCTTTCCATTTAAATTTTGATTTGCAAGTGTCACATTCAAAAGGATAAACATCCGAGTGTGTTGAAATGTGTCTGTGTAAATTACTTTTCTTCAAATTTTGCCTTGCAAGTGTCACATTCAAATGGATAAATACTCGAATGTGTTAGTTTGTTTATTTTCAAATCGCGTTTCCGTTTAAATTTTGATTTGCAAATGTCCCATTCAAAAAAATTTAATATCCAAGTGTATCAATATGTGTTCCTTCAAATCGCCTTCTCTTTTCAATTTTGCATTGCAAATGTTACATTTGAAATTCTCCTCATCCGAGTGTGTTAATATGTGGCTTCTCAAACTACGTTTGTGTTCAAATTTTGCATTGCATGTGTCACACTTAAAGGATAAATATCAGACTGTGTTAGTTTGTGTCTCTTTAAACAGTCTGTTCCTTTGAATTTTACTTTGCAAATGTCACATTCAAAAAGATAACTATCGAAGTCTGTTGATATGTGACTTTTCAAATTACCTTTTTGTTCAAATTTTCCTGATTTAAATTTTTCTTTAAATTTTGCATTGCATATGTTGCATTTAAAATTCTTCTCGTCCAAGTGTGTTAGTTTGTGTCTCTTCAACCTGCCTTTTTTTTAAATTTTGCTTCGCAAATGTTGCATTTAAAGTTCTGATTCTGCTTCTAAAATAATAATTTAGTCTGAAGTGCCCTTTTTTACGCATAAAAAATTTATTCAATTGATTTTGACCCCCCCCTACATATTTTTCTGCGGGTGCCCCTAATATAAGGAGTTGGATGAGATAGTGAGCTTAAATAGCAGATGCAAATCAGTCGGTTATTGAAAACGATTAGTTAGTTTGAATAGTGTATGGACAGGATAAAAATTCGAGAGCAGCTGAAAAATGAATTGATACAAAGACGTTTAAGAAAAACGACAATTCGAAAAAAACTGTTTGTCGATTTTAATATTTATTCATTAAAAAGAAGATTCTAAAGGGAGGTATACACAGGTTGACTTAGACTAAATTTATCTTTTCGAATCTTTCGATTTAAAAAACACCTCGACTATAAACGCGCGTTGCTGGTTCGACCACTGCTCCATGTTTACTGATTATTCGTGTTAATGTTTCATTAAAATCCTATACCTGAGCTGAACATTTGTGGGAGCTTCCATTTGTTTAAATTTGAGCCTTATTCTGTAAGAATCAAATTGAAATTAACGGAGTTGTCAAGCTAAATGTACGCAGATATTCTTCAGCAACATTAGAAATTGCACTCATTTGATTGATGATGATTTTCAAAATTTAAATTGTTACTTACTTTTGATTGGCTCTTGATTCAAGTTCAAGATCCGGGAATAATCAAAATTTGAAAAAGGCGGTACCTATTTCTATACTAAAAATGACAGTTGACGCTCAGTTGCCACTGCACTCGTTTGATTGGTGGTGATTTTCAAAATTCAAATTGTTACTTGCTTTTGATTGGCTCTTGATTCAAGTTTAAGAGCCGGGAATAATTAAAATTTGAAGGAAATAGTATATTGTTTTATTAGGAGTAAAAGTGATACTTTTTGTGGCGAGACTGAATGTGTGACGGCCGAACGTAGTGAAGCTGACAATTTTAGACGAGCCACAAAAAGTCCTTTACTCCGAATAAAACACGCGATTTTTTCCGCAAACGGTGTTCAAAGCGATGGAATCTAGGAAATTTCTGTGACGTCACTTTTTTGTCCAACCGTGAGCGTACAAACGCTCACGGAACGCGCGGACAAAAAAGTAACCAAAAAAATGACGTCTGTGAAGTCAAACTTCAACATCAAGAATTGAGGTTAAAAAAGTCGTCATTTTTTGACGTTTGCGAAAAAACGCTATTTCTATGCTAAAAGTGACAGTTGACGCTCAGTTGCCACTGCACTTGTTTGATTGGTAATGATTTTCAAATTTCAAATTATTACTTGCTTTTGATTGGCTCTTGATTCAAGGCAAAGAGCCAGGAATACAAATTGAAGCCCAACTACCAGATATATTTGCGGTAGGTATAGTTCAAATGTAGATGTGAAACCAGCACTCAATATTTTTAAGTAGCTGTGAAAACATAATAGACACTTTAAGCAAACCCTAAATTTTTCTACGTATCCGTATCCGTAAACGTATCGTCTACGTTGACTGTTCAAAAGTCCTTTTTAGCATGGCCATACATTACGTAAACAATCGTATCCTTGTATGAAACGTTTTTTAACGTCAAAAAGTGTTGTATTGATTTTGTAGCTGTGTTTGTAGGTTTTCTTTTTATCTATAAGTACTGTGTTTATGTTGTTAAAGTTATTTTAGTGATAACTGACAGGAAGATCTCCCAATAGTGTCAAATGATTGAGATACATTGTCGGATACGGACAACGCAACGCAACGAAACCACCGTATCAATTCTGCACATGCGCAGATCGATGCGGATACGGATACGTTTGAAATTCAGGACCTGCTTAAAGTGTCTATTTAGGCTGTTATGGTTACGTTTGATTTATCTTATTTCAAATAAATCAAATAAACTTACTACCCAATCTTTTTTTTTTTAAATTAATTTGGAAAAATATTTTGGATTTGAATCTGCTCAGATATTTTACACATTCTGGCAACTCGGCTTTTTGCTTCATAACTTTGAAATTTAAAAAATATTTTGTCATCAAATGTCATTATTATACGAGGGTCAACCAGTCAAATTTCCATGGATGATATTACGCATACGTATAAGCGTCGTCATCTTGTAAACCTTGCTGTAATTGTCGCAATGATGGCTAAAAAAAAAAATACATTCTCGACACTCACAGTCCGTATTTTTCGGACTCGGACAATATGACGCTGCAATGTTGATAAATGAATTCAACGAGAACTAAGCTGGTATGCGAGAGTGGTTTCAGCAGGGTGATATTGCTGTTGTAGATCGAGGCTACCGTGATGTTAAACCAATGTTGGAAGCTTTGGGCATCGAACATGAAATGCCTGCTTTTTCATCATCAACTCTCCACAGAAGCAGCTAATAAGTCGCGTTTAGTAACGAAGACTCGGTGGATAGTTGAAGCCATTAACGGGCGTTTGAAGTCTCTCTTCAAGTTTTTTGATTAAAGAATCGTAATGCTGCATGTAAGGTATATGGTTAATCCAGGTATCGAACATCTGC